GTTAAAGACTTTGATGGCGACAGCTCAAACATGAGAGGTTGAGCTTTATTAGCCCCACCTTGCGGAAATTCCCGATACTATTATTTTGCTAGCGGTATTTACCGGTAACTCACGGTAGACTGCGTACAGCGTACCGGAAAATAATGCAGTATCGCCCACGCATTTTGAATGGCTGCATCTGTATTCATTATGCTACTGTAGAAAGTAAGACAGTATTGTGTGTTGATACTTTTATATTCTTGCTGATACTCTTAATGTTGTGATGAACCCAACAGTTGTGTCTTTCATTCCTTGTTTATTGATAAAAAACAGCAAATAACTCTGGTATTCATCATTTAAAAAAATGTGTGGAAGCCACAACTGTTGATATTTTTGATATGTTGATATATGTTGATATTTTTTTCATTTATAAAATTCTGAATTTCTATTTTTTTCTGTTTTTATACAGAAGTATTTCAGAAATTTATAGTAATATCTACAGTAGGTGAATCTAATAACAAAGTAATAAAAGTAAAAACAAGAATATTATTATATAAAATACATAACAGGTGTATACAGTAATGGCCATAAGAGTATTAGCCAGCAATTTCAGAATAAGTAACATTTTTTATTATTTACAATTTGTGAAGAAAAGTAAATAACACACACTGTAAACAATTCTAGGAATGAAATAAATGGGATTGTAATGTATTAAATGTAACTAAGGTTTGCTAAAACAGATTGTGGAATTCCAAGTTGGTTCCAAAATGAGTTATGCTTCATAATATCATTAAAATACATAAGCAATATATAAATACATCTTATAAAAATATACTGTAATAAGCATATATTAGCTACATTTAAAAAAAAGTTTAAATGTGTTTCTTTTGGTATGCAATAGCTATCATTGGCAGATTCCTTCTTGCTGTCTGCAATAGGACAGAATGCCTTCCTAATGGGACATGTGCTGGTAAGCTGCAGTGTATCATTGTATTTTTCTTTATAATTTTGTCTGTAATTTACTAAAAGTGTATTGATTTAATATTTAGAAAATTCTAAATATTTCTAAATGCAGAATATAAATATTTTCACGTTTTTGTTTTAGGGCATGTAAAAACTGTACATTTCTAAATTGTTTTAAATGAAATTAATTTTAGGCTAAACTACTAATTCATATTTTAGTACTGATTTTTTTGTAAATGGCAATGATATAATTTTAATAATAAGTGATAATTTAATTATTAAAATATGTTTGTTCTATCGACAATGTATTGTGTGCCCCGGTTTTTCTTTAATTTCTTTAATTGCTTCAATAATTGTTAAGGTTTTGCTTCCTATTTTAGTATTTTATGATCGATCACATAATTTCTGCATTTATTACATGTCCTATGCAAATCAAGTACTTACATTTATATACATTATATACATTTGACACATTTGACAAAAAGGCTCCAAAGCCAAAACTTTGTTTCTTTTTTTCTTTTCAGCATGGAATAAACCTTAACTTGTCCTTTGCTACTTACATTTATACTTTCCTTAACACTACAATGGCTTAGTGATGTAGCCAAAATAGAGAAAATTAACTCTTTACTTTCCACTTGATTAAGTAGAAATATTAATGCATCCCAATGTGCTTTGCATCTGTCACTCCTCCTTGTCTTCACTTTTGAAGGTGCTTCTTTTCTAATTCTAACTACTGTTTCTTTACTTCATAGTTTTTGTGCAGTGTAATTGTTGGATATAAATGTGCTCAAAACCCCAATTATCCATGAAAAAGCCCATTATTCTTGGCAAGGATCAAGGAGGTCCAGATCCAGAAGGCAGAGGCATAAGCAACCAGGACATAATGCCTGTCATAGAACACATGCAGACATGGACAATTTAGACACAACAAATAAACTACCCCAAAAGTCTTTGGAAAGTGGAGCACTTGGAGAAAGCCCATGTTCACACATGGAGAATCTACATACACTTTACAGGTGTTCCAGCTAGAATCAAACCCAGGACCTAAGAGTCGCATTGACTTCCTTTTGACAGGTTCCTTCTTTGTCAAGCTTGAGACTGCTCTGTTAAAATGTGTAAAGGGGGAAATATAAATATGCAGCTATTTTCAGAACATGAAATCCAACAAATGCATAATATTTTCCCTCTTTTAGTTTATTTGATATTTACTATTATTTATCTGGCCAGGAATTTTACTAGCTTCAGAATTCTCCATGGTAATATATACAGTATTACCATACACATTGGCTTAGGAGCCATATCACCCTGCAACTCACAACTGGTAGCACACTGAAGCTAAGCAGATGAGCCTGGTCAGTACCTGGATGGGAAACCTACTGGGAAAAACTAAAGTTGCTGCTGGAAGAGGTGTTAGTGGGGCCGGCAGGGGGCGCTCACCCTGTGGTTTATGTTGGTCCTAATGCCCCAGTATAGTGATGGAGACACTGTACTGTAAAAAGGCACTGTCCTTTGGATGAGATGTAAAACTGAGGTCCTGACTCTCTGTGGTCATTAAAAATCCCAGGGTGTTTCTCAAAAAGAGTAGGGGTGTAACCCTTATTTCCCATTGGCCCTTACCAATCATGGTCTCCTAATAATCCCCATTTATTAACTGGCTTCATTACTCTGGTCTCCTCCCCACCGATAGCTAATGTGTGGTGAGCGTTCTGGGACACTATGGCTGCCGTCGCATCATCCAGGTGGATGCTGCACATTGGTGGTGGTGGAGGGGAGTCCCCTTTACCTATAAAGGGCTTTGAATGGAGTGTCCAGAAAAGCACTATATGAGTGTAAGCAATTATTAGTTATAAAAATATTATTAGGAGACAAAACATGAAAAGACAGGTGTTCACAATACATTTAAAATAATGTAGACAAATATCACTTTCGTTGACTCTGTAGTTAATAAACTGTAGTTAAGAGAGTTAATTGACTTGACAAATAAATCATTGTTACTTCTGAGGTGCAAATTCTAGAACAGAGTTTGGGGTTACATTTGTATTCCTGTGTGATGTTGCCATAGCCAAAATGTAATGTAGTGTGCTCTCTGAAGGCACCAGTTCTGTAGGGTTTGGGCATTTACTGGGACAATTATTAATTGTAGCAGTAAATCACAAAGTTGATTCTTTTGATGGCTTTAGAATCCAACCATGCGATATAACTCAAACAACGCACACACAGGTACTAATACACGAGGATACATTTATTAATACATAATATATGCATAAAATATGCATATAAACCTAACAGATCTTATCGAGAGGGTTATCAGAATACAAAAGGTATATATTCAGTCAGTTACAAAGTGTTACACATATCAAGAGGACATATGTTCAGTATATAAATTTCGTAAAATAAATTTCGTTTCGTAAATTAACTTGGTTATAACTTCTACATTAGATACTCAAAACAAGTACATAACTCTTAGGAATTAAATTGATGTCAACTGGTTGGGATAACAATTGAATTATCGAGCTGTAATGCATTGAAGTTGAATACTCATCCAATCTTTGGGGATTCAGATCTCCTGCGGGCACAAAGAAACAGTTGCAGGCTTGTTGCTGTCCAATCCGAGCTCTCTGGCTCTGTGCCAGGCTGTGCTGTGCTGTTTGCGATGGTGCGCTGCAGATGCTCACTGACCGGCTAGTTAATGTTGGCTTTAACTAGCAAAGTTTGCGGACAGGAGAAAAGATGACTGTGAGTCCCAGCAAGTCAGGAAGAGGACCGTTTCGTTCCTGATGAAGAGCTAGTTCTGAATAGTGATTCAGCTGTCCACAGTTCTGACCTTTTCACGAGGCCTGCTGCTGGTGCTAACCTCGGGTGAATCCTCTGGTTACTCTCTGGCAACCTCCGCTCTCGACTCTTAGAACAAAGGAAAGTTCTGGCACTCGGACACACTGGCTGTTCCGTGGTTGTCCGGGCTGAGTCTCTGGATGGTCAGGAGGCGCGCTGCGAGAATGTCCTGTCCTTGGGAGCCTTCTGCTCCTGGGCCATCCTGCCCTGGAATTCTCCTTTGAATTCCCTTTAGAACAGTCCACAGAATTCTCCACTGAATCCCTTCTGAATTTACAGGCTCTCTATGTTGCCTGTTTTTACCTGGAGGAACTTCAGCTTGTTGATTGGCTGAAAGTTCCATGGGCATCAGAGTCCCACGTGGGTTACTCGGCCCTACCAGTCCCTGATTGGTTGATCAAGGTGAGATATGAGTCACTTACTCCTGACACTTAGGAATGCAGTCCAGATGTCCATCTGGCACTCCCTAGACAGATAGGCGCCAATGGATGACCATTGATCATGATAGCCAGGCTTAGCTAAGTGCATCCCCCTTTGGGAGCTGTCCTAGGAAACCTTATCAAAGGAAACCTTACATCAGCCTGCATGAATAGTTTCTCTGTGGCTGCACCACAGAGATGAACAGAGAGATGAGGCCTAATTTGGGAAAGCTCAGAAACACTTAATTCTGCCTTATTAATAAGCCTCGCCGCTACACCTGTCAGAACTGGTTGTGGTCTCTTTTACTCATGACTCAACAGGATACTATAGCTTTTCATAGGTTCACCATATTTTACTGATCAGTCTATATTATGTGCTTATAGTGCACTACGGGAAGCAAAATTGTACATTAAGTACAAATCTAATTATTTTCCTAATACATTTAGGTATTACTATTTGAAAATATATTTAAATATTATAACTTACATTATTATGGAGAGTACATGCATTTTTACTGCCATATTGGGAGTGTATGAATATGACATATTTTTTAAGACTTTTTTTTCTTCTTCCTTGTCCATAGTCATAAACAAGATTCCTTTGCTCTTACCTAATGATTCCACCTTGCATGGTACTGTAGCAGAAATGTATGATTTGTAGATTTTTAATGTACTTGTATTCACTGTAATACTAAATGATGTAGATCTGCTATACCAGATCTAGATGTAAATGACTAGATTACTACAATATCTTTTGTTCTTTGACTTTAGGTCTGAGTGTCAGACTGGTAAATGGGAGCCATGACTGTGAAGGCAGAGTGGAGATCAATCAGTGGGCAGTGAGTGATGTTGGGTGGGACGATCAAGATGCAGAAGTGGTGTGTAGAGAGCTGGGCTGTGGAACACTTCAGTTAGCCAAGGGCAAAACACTTTTTGTACAAGTGCCATATTCACCCATGATCACAGATGTTCAATGTTCTGGCAATGAGGCCTCTTTACTACAGTGCACTTTCAAAGCCAGATTACATTAACTAATCATGTTTGGTAGAACTATACACACCTCCTTACCATAAAAATACATATATTAACAGGGAGGAGTTAATTTCTCTAAATGATTTGTGATGTATAACAGGCTATATTTTAAAAATGTAGTTTATTCATAATACAACTTTTCCAGTTAAAAATCTTCTGTTTACTGCTCTTTTCTCAAAAAACATTGTAAGTCACCTGTAGAAGACTACTTGCCCTGCATGTTAATTATAAAAAAAAATGTAACATTTTCACACCATTGCATCTTATGTAAACACATATTGTCATGCTGTGGAAAGGTATGACAGAGTTTGGCTGGAGAGGGAAGGTACAGTGACAGGCACTATGAGAAAAAATATAAAAATTAAATTAAAATAAATCTACTCAAGTGATCAGCGCCACCTGAGAATTTTGACAGTTTAATCATTACACATTCAAGAAGGTGGGGAACGTGTGTGCATATTAGGGTGGAGCGGTGGCTCTGTGGCTAAGGATCTGTGCCTGTGGTTTGAAGGTTGCCAGTTCAAATCCAGTGGCTGGCAGAGGAATCCTCCTCTGTTGGGCCCCTGAGCAAGGCCCTTAACCCCAACTGCTCCAGGGTTGCTGTGCTCTGACCCCAAGCTTTTCTCTCCCTGTTTGTGTGTCTCATGGAGAGCAAGCTGGGGTATGCAAAAAGACAAATTCCTAATGCAAGAAATTGTATAGGGCTAATAAAGTGATCTTATCTTACATTAATAAATGTAGGAGGTAATGATAAATATTTTTAGTAAAATGAAAGACATAACTACAAGAACCATTACCTGAGACATCTTATTATTCCCTGATAAATTGACTTAGTGATCTCACTAAAGCATGAGGAGTTGCAAATGCTTCAGCTATCACTTCTTTGTTATTCATTAACTACTTTGATCAGTATCATAAAGGGTTGACTTTGCACCTCAAGTGAGAAAAACAGGATATGACTAAACAAGGCTAAAGTCTTGTACACTGCTTCTGTTTATAAACTGTACAATAATACACTTTAAAGACATCTACAGTATGGTGATTGATTCCCCATGGAACACAGTTCTGGGGAACTGTAAGGTTCCTTCAACAGTGCAGAGCTTCCCAAAATTAAACTACAAGCTCTTAATGTGTGGTTAGGTTTCCACTCCCTTCAATGCATTCATTTTCTAATCCATTCAGTGTCACAGGGGAGTCAAATACTATCCTGGCAAGCAACAGGCACAAGGTGGGAAACACACTGGCCATCTTAGGGTAAATACAGACACAAACAGACATGCATATACTCACACCAGGCCATTTCTCCCAGAAACGAATTAACCTACCAGTATGGTTTTGGTCTTTTGGAGGCAAACACAGCACCCAGGAGAATCCCAAAGTGAACACAGGGAGAATGTACAAACTCCATGTAGAAAGTAGCCTACAGTAGGTCCAGAATTCAACCTAGGGATCCAGCACTGCAAGTTAGCAATGCTAACCCTGTGCAACCACCCTTTCTTCCACTTTTTGTAGTTTGAAAATTACACACATTCAAATTGAGATCCATTCTCTTTATAGGTAATTAAACTGATGTTCAGGAGGGATGTTGGGAACCAAGGTAGTTTTGCCTCAGCTAAAGCATTATCATTCCTGACAAAATCCATCTCATTAGTAGCCACACAGGTTAAGGTAAAATGCCTTTATACCTATACAGTTAATAAACATTCTGAACAAACATTATATTAGGGTGTCATTATTCCCCCTTCTCAGTTGTGAATCTGTGTACTACTGTATCTTTGCTTTACATTGCTGAAGCATAGGCAGGTATCTTCTATAGTGTAGTGCGAGAAAAGCTGAATGGCTGAATCTTTGATGTAGTTTGTCTTCATCTTCATTTCTGGACATGAAATATTTAGGTTCCCATCACAATATGACAATAAGCTGAATGCTAATAAATGTAGCTTTCTACTTCCAGTAATATGGGAAAGACAAAGGACATACTGTACACTGTCCTCTGATACAGTCATACTTAGGTTACTCTGAAGCCTAACCCACTAAGAGTGAAAATACTGTATATTTTCTTATTAGTTTCATAAAGACAGCAGCAATTTTCTAAGTTTACTATTAAACAATCAATATATGATACAGAAGAAAAATTAAAAAGATGCATAGTAGAGCTATACCTCCACTAATTAATGATACACTTTTTTTTAATTTACAGGGTACCCAAGGAAGTGCAGCAAACGTTTAAATAACGTAAGTTTTTGTGAGAATCATGGACTGAAAAGAATAATCATGAAACTAGACAATTATTCTAAAATATTAATTTGAGAGATAACATAATAAAAAAAAACATTTGATTCTGCAGGAAATCAGAAAAGTAAAATATTACAAAACTAGAATGTAGGTGACATGTTTCTGACCTTAACATACATTTTCAGTTTTGGAAGGAGTACTTGACTAAATACAAAAATGCAATGGAGTCATCTAGATCCAGCTATTTGTCCCTCAACAATCCTAGACACATGTTCTCAACCATAAACAGACTACTAAAGTTAAATTGCCCCACCACATTACTGGCCTCATCTCAAATTTGCCTGACATTCCATAGAGATTACATCCTATGTTAGTCACTAACCATAGCTAAGAAACTGGTCAACACTTTCATCTTCTCTCAAATTGATTACTGTAATGCCCAACATCAGTATGTCCATAATTCAGCAACCAGAATCCTGACTAGATCTTGTGCAAGTGATCATATTACTGCTTTCATGGAGTCTTTGCACTTGTTTCCTCTCATGTTTTGTATCAACTTCAACTTCAGGGTCATCTAGAAGTCTCTACATGACTTGGCACCTCAGTACCTGTCTGACGTAGTACAGTATCATCCCACACCCCACCTCAAATTATTCGTTGCTGATCACTTTTAAATCAAAACTCAAAACCTTCTAATAAAGTTTCTTATACTTAACTGTTTAAGACTTTGAACAGAAAATACTACAGTACAATGGACCTTTTAAAACGTTTTTCAAAACTTCAAAGGAATTGAGAAAAAAATGTGAACTTGAAACATGAACCAGATGACACAAGTGAAAACTATGTGATAGTGTATTTAAAACTGAAAACAAATCAAAGTTGTGGGGGGATCAGGAATTACCTCTAGCCATTTGTTTAAATTGATTCTCTGATTTCTTTCAGGAAATGGCTTCATGAGACCTTTGCATCAAATAGCCTTATAGCTACCCGAACAATGGCTTCCTCATGTTTATAATCTTCCTAATGATCTCATGCTCCTAAATATTCTAGTTGTGCTGCTTGTGATATTTTGAGAATAAAGAGTGAAGTAGATGGTGATTGTGAATAATTGTTTTATAATGAACATCACACAGATTTTCATATCTGTTTGATATTCCAGTCTTTCCTTTTTTCTTTTGCAGATAAATGCTAGAAGTTATATATACAAAGTTTTATCTAGTTATTGTTCCAACACCAAAACCAAAAATTATCCACAGGTTTGAAATTATTTTTTCTGTTACTGTATATATATTGTATATTGTAAATAAATATTATTATCAGTGGGGGAAGTACACATGTATTGTATTGGGCTCCCAACTCCAGCCTTGGAAAACTGTGTTTTTGTAGGCTTTGTTGGTGTCTTTAAATTAGCATCACTTAGAGAGCTGGGAAAACTGCAACTATTAAGTTAATAAATACTTCAATTAGAACTGAAAGTGTTTTGATGGAGGGCAAAATCTGCAGAACTGCAACCTTCCAGGAGTTGGTTTGCAAACTACAGCACTCTCAAATAGCAGATATGAATGGCACTTCTGTTGTACTTCTGCAGGTTGAAATGGTTTGTATGGCTTGAGATTTATACATTTTTATACACCTTGTTATTTACAGCACATTGTTGAACATTTGAGGTCTTTACTGAATAAGATTAAACGTCTGAGTAATTTGACCATACAGGAGAGAATGATAGCAGGAGAAATTGTCCTGCAAAATGTTGAAAATATTACTATACCCATGTCTGATACGTCTGATGAATTCATGAAGAAAAACATGAGTGTTGATAAACTAGGTATGGAAATACAATATCTGAAAATATGGTTTTAATTAGTGGTATTTGAATCTAATTTTCTTCCTAACAGTGTATGTAATAGTTGTACAAAGATGGTTACAAAGGTGTGACAAATTGATTTTTAATAGTCACAAAATACAAAAAAAGAATCAATAGATTAAATATGACCCTGCCTTTTATTTGAAATAAAGTTCTCAAATGTTCTTTTTTTAAAAAAAGGTCAGTTTACACACCCATTGCAGCACTTTTGTATTTATTTTAATCATTGCATGTTTCTGTTAATTATGATGGTGAATATTGAAATAATTTAAAAATTCTCCTTAAAAGATCAGGAATATTCATTATTATTTCAATGTGGAGGCAATATGTTTTACTTTTCCTTTAAAGTAGAGTGCACAGTTGAAACCATCTGTTTTGGAAGTAGAATAGTGCTGTGCAGTGATTTACTGTATATGTACATTACATCCATCAATTTTCAACTACTTTATTCAGTTTAGAATCATGGGTGAATTGGAGCCTGGCAAGCAGCAGGTGCAAGGCAGGATACACCTTGACATTGCAAGGTGTTTTGCCAGTCCATTGTGTGACAGACACAAAAACAAAAACTCATAATGCACACACTCACTGTGGGACTGTGGGAGGAAACTGGTGCACCTTGAGGAAACCCAGACGTACATGGGGAGAACATACAAACACCAAGGTCCAAATAGCACTGCAGGTCTAGAATTGAACCCAGGGCCCCTGCACTAAGATGCAGCAAAACTAATCACTCTGCCAGCAAAAAAAAACCTAAATAAAAATGGTTGTTCAAGAAAGAGTTTCAGGGAAGTAATTTTAAATTATAGAAAAGGCAATTTGTCATCTGTTATCAGTTTTAAGAATTTTTTTGCACTTTTTGCCTAGAACCACACCCTGTTTTCAACATTAAAACATGTCTGTGCATACACAAGCCGATGAACCCTGGTGTACTGTACATGTAATTAAAAAAAAACAGAACCTCAGTAAGATCAGAGGACGTGTTTCATTGGGAATCATTTTCACATTAACCAACTGTGATATGAAAGCTGTCCACATTATTATAACTATAAGTGAGAGAAGTGCAGTTTAAGGTATTTGAGTGATGCACTTACTTTTCTTATTTGTCATTTTCTTTTCTTAAGCAAGATTCAGTCAAATGCTTAGTATGCAATAAAAATCCTCCTCTTGTTTGTAAGTTTTTCACTCACTGTTTTTCTCTTACAGATCTAGAGTGGCTTGTGATTCCTGCTAATTTTACTCAGAAAATAGAACCTTTACAGATATGTGGGAACACACTGCAAGTAAATCTACAAAGTCTTATCCATAACATCACTAAAGGTAAGCTTTAATATGTGTGCAGTATATACACATAGATTTAGAAAGAACTTGTAACGCTGCTCTGTAAAGGTGAAAAGGATCCGATGCAGATGCAGGAGTCGCAGGGAGGTACGTAAGCGTACTGAGCAAATCCAGGAGCTGAGTCATAGTCCAATGGCGAAGGTAGGTCGAGATCCGGTAAAGGTACTGGTGGCGAGCAATCCAAAATGTGAGACAGAATCGTGGTCGAAAAGAGGGCTGCAGGGTTAAATCCAAAACAGGCAAAGATAGCAAACAATCCAAGGGGCGAGATGAGATCCGAAGTCCGAAGGCAAAAGGTGTAGGCAGAATTCCAGGAAGGCAAAAGGGGGTAAGAATGCTAGGTAGAGCAACAAGTAGTGAAGTCAATACTGAGCAACGGGAATCAGGTAAGAATGGTACAGATGCAGCCGTTCAAAATGCGCGGGCGATACCGCATTTTTTTCCGGTACACTGTACGCAGTCTACCGCAAGCTACCGGTAAATACCGCTAATTACCGTAAATATGCAAACTGTACTGTATACAGTATGTATAAGTATATTTAATGTATTAACTGTGCCCATTTAAGTATTGAATATTCATATCTAATTTTACCACTCAAGGAAAATCTTAGTGCCTGAGCTTAAAAAGAATAGGAGCATACTGCAACGCGTGTGAAGTCCATAAACGATATTAATTTTGGAACTTAAACATACAGTATATGGCTGGTCTCGGTACTTTAAAGAAAACATACACA